ACCCGAGCGAAAGAACATCCTGTGCCCGCCGCCGGATGCGCGCGGGGAGGAGGTAGTCCGGGGAGGGAGAGCGAGATGGGGGAGGCCCGGGGCGGGGAGGGGCGCGGCCTCCGGCCCCCACGCGGCCTCCTCCGCTCGTCCCGCCTTCGCGCAGTATCTCTCGGTGCGCACGCCTTCGCGGTGCGGCGAGCCGGTCGGAGGCCCCGCTGCTCCTGCGCGCTGTAAGCGCTAGGCAGGCAGGGCATGGGGTCCACGTCGGGGCCCAGGGTTTTATCTCGGCCTTCTGCAGGGGAAGCTCGCACGTGTGAGCGTCCATCGCGCACGGAGGACCGGCACACCCATTCTCTTACTCAGTTCTGATGGTAGCGCTTCCGGATAGGAGCTAGATCGCAGAGACTCGTGTTCTGGAGGAGAAACTGAGACTCAGATGGTGGCATTCGTCCAGACCCCCGCTGGGACTTGAACCCAAACCGCTGGCACTCCAAAAGGCATTTCACAGGAATGTAGAGTAGGCTGATTTTCCTTTAGTTTTTCTTTTTTGAGAGAGAGAGATTTTCCTATAGGGTGCATGTGCTCGCCAGAAAGAGAGACCTAGAGAAAGCGAGAAATTTTACACACACACACACACACACACACACACGCACCTGTGAGGATGGCAATGCAACATTCACACGCACCTGGGAGGATGGCCATGCCACATTCTCTTCTCCATTCTCCTCTTGGGATCTTGGGCAGGCACACGCCACCGGGTCTGGGACTCGAACCGGGGTCAACTACATGGAAGTCCAGCGACATAGCCACTACACCAACTGCAGGTCCCTTCCCTTTAATGCGCTCAGGTGATGGGCACTGCAGGGTCCCCCTGGGTAATGGCCATTGGGGCGGCTTTCATAGCCTGCTCCCAGTGGCGTTGGCGCTTCTGTAAGTGCTACACCGGGACACGGTGCAGGGTATGGGTAAAGAGAATGAGGAAGCAGCTCTAGGGTTACACAGGTGGTTGGATGATTTTCCAGGAAGAAGGTAGCTCAGTGGGGTGGGCAGGGGGGATAGTGCTTCCGGTTTAGGTATCTGTGGGGACTTATAAGGAGTTTCTGAAGGCACTCTAGGCAGTTAGATGGGTTAGGGGAGTGGGGATTAATGAGGCACAGTGCCAGGGCCAGGGGGAGTGGGTGAGTAGAAGGGCCCGAGTGATGGATGCCCTGGTCCTACCTGCTGTGTTGGCCCTGCCTTCTCTCAGCCTGTTGTCCAGGGGAAACCTGCTTGCAGTCATTTCTGTAGCCAGCGTTTTCCAGCTGTCTGCTGAGCACTGCTCGAGGTACTTGGCTTCATTCTCACAACCCCATGAAGAAGTCTAATTATTCCCATATTATAAGGGGAAAACGAGGCACAAAGAGATGACCCAGGTAAATCAGTGGCTGGTTTTGGACCCTGGCTGTCTGACTGGAGCCCACACTCTTTATTTATTTATTTATTTAATTATATCTATATGGCTATTCTAAATCCCTTTTCCTCTCAAGATTTGGGGCACATTCATGCCCCTGGTGATTTTCAGGCTGCAGGGTTTGTCAAGCCATAGGGTCCAGGACTGGAACAGTGCTGCCAGCCATGAGGCTACCAGAGCCTTAACCTCCACCCCACCTGCTGGCCCACGGATCATGAGGTTTTTTTTTTGTTTTTTTTTTTGTTTTGTTTTGTTTTTTAGCAGATGATCAAAACTGGTTCAGAGAGGTTAAGAACCCCCAGGCCGAACTGAAGTGTTGGAACCTAGACCCAGACCCCAGTCTGTGCGGCCTCCAAAGTCTAGGCGTTCTATTTCATGCCCCCTTCTTTTTCAAAAGTTAGTAAGTGATATAAAATATATAAGAGAAACTAAACTGCACTAACACAGTGAGCACATCAGCAGATAAAAAGCTGACCCAGGTGGCGAGCTGTGTGCGAGGCACCTGGGTGAGGGCAGGTAAGACGCGCAGCTGGCTGTGCACGAGTGATCCTCAGGCTTCTCTCTGGCCAGCTGGTCTGTCCAAATTAGATGGAAACACCAAGAAAACAAGAGCAGAGTCCCACAAAGAGTTGCGGCTTTTTACGCTCCCTAAGAACACTCAAGACACACCTGTCTATCCTCGCCAACGTTTCATAAAAGAAATTGCATTTAATTCTCCTTGAATCGGGCACATCTGAATCAAATACAGCCACTCCCAAGAAAAGACCGTCACTGGCTTTGTACTGAGAAACACACATTCCTCTGTATTTTTTTGTGTTGCGAATTAGTGAAAATGTCACTCGGGGAATGACTCTGCTTTTAATTCCTCTGAGTCACTTGAGCGCAGAACCAGAGTGGGTTTAGGTGCAGCAGGCAGGAACTGGGGTACAGCCAAGAAAGCTCTCTTCAGAGGTCTTTGGAGGTGAGCCCCACATTTATTCAGGCTGCAGAACCGACTCCGTGGGACGGAGGGGGCTGATTCCATTCAGAGAAGGGCAGAGCAGGAACCTCGTTCAGAGAGAGCTATTCTCAATCCTCCATTGTAACCGGGAACCTAAGGGGACAGTGCCCATGACAGCCATTTCCTGCCCAGAGTTCATGGCAGTGGGGAGGCCTCCGCGGGTCTTTACTCACCTCACGTCACAGGGAATCCGTGTGGTCACCCACCTGGGCCTGAGTACAGAGCCAGGAATAACCTTTGGGAAGGGCTGAGGATGGCAGGGAGGACAGGAAGAGAATGGCTGTGCAGGTGTGTCACCTGTTCCCTGCCTGCAGCCCAGGGCACACAGCTCTGAGTGGGCAGGCCTGGCTGGCCCAGCAGCCTTCATTCATGGGGAGGCTGTTTCCCTGTCACCATCTCTCTCCGGCCCAGGTGCTGCCCCCGATCCAGAATGTCTGTGCCAGCTCCCCCAGCCAGAGCTCAAAGCCAGGTAGTGCATGCATGTGCAGCGCCCGCCCTGGGCCTAACCCTAGCTGGCGCATGTTGGAGCCAGAGGATATGAGGAGACTGGTGGGAGGGGGCAGGGTCTGGTCTCATCCGCTCATCCTAAGGGTGGAGATCCAGGCTCCCGAAGGTGGGCTCCTGTCCTCTAGGTTGGTGCCATTTTCTGGCTCCAGAGGAGGTCTTGAGCCTCATCCCACCTTGGGGGAGGGTAGGAGGTGGTACCCCCAGAGTTAGCCCCAGCCCCTCTGTGCTCAAAGGCACTGACCTACCCACATTTTAATCCTGGACTTTTTTTTTTTTTTTTTAAAGAATTATTTCTGGGACCAGCAGTTAGCATAATGACTATGTCACTGAACTCCCATGTAGTCTACCACGGTTCAAGTCCTGGACCCAGTGGTTTAAAACTCACACCGGGTGCGTGCCCAAGATTCCGAGAGGAGAATGGAGGAGAAGGGATTGCGGTGTGACCATCCCCCCCACCCGGGGAGTGATTTCTTGCTTTCTGTCTCTCTGGTGAGCGCATGTGCCCTGTAGCAAAAACCTCTAAAAAGAAAAAAGAATTATTTCTTTACTTTTTATGTTATTATCATTCATTTTTTAATTTGACCACAGAGACAAAGAGAAAGTGAGAAAGCAAGCTGCCAGGTCTGGGACTTGAACTGCTCTTGGCCATGTGGGAGTCCAGCGCCTTAATCACCACACCACCTACTGGCCCCAATCCTGGACTTTTCAAGTGGTAAATCTAGACTCCCTGAGGTTACAGATGTTGACCCAGGCAAGAGCCTTCCCTTTCTCAAGATTCACTCCAGTTAGACAGGCCTGGAGCCCCAGTTTCTAGGTGCTCTGTCATAGATCTGCATCCAATCCTCAGAGAGGGACAGAACGTGATGTCCACACGTCTGAATGCAGGGCTGTGCTGAGCGCGGGCGATGTGACAGCTCCTGGCCTCAAGGGCGGTCCATCACACAGGTGGTTCCACGGCAGCACCGATGCTGGAAATGGATGGCTCTGTCCGAGACTGCAAGCCTTTATAAGGTGCACCCTCCTTTTCACCTTCTGATGAAGGGGACTGCCTGAAGAAGCACCCCAAGGTCCAGGGCTAGATCCGCGGTGGGAAGAACAAGGACAAGAGGGTCAGGGAAGTGAAGGAACGGAACTGCCAGTGGGTGTACCCACCCCTCCCAGAAATAGACACCTGCTGTTTCCTACTGGAGGATGGGCTCCCCCAGAAAAGGGGATCTGGAGGACCCTTCTGCCCCCACAGGGGAATAAAATGGGGCTTCATTTCCTGCAGCCTCTAAGGCCGCACCGGCTCTCCTCCCTACCACCCTGGCTGCTCCATCTCCCGAGCGCCATCCTCCATCCCATCATCTCCTCAGTTTCCTTTGTTGTCTGGGTTCTGATTCTGGTCCCCTGGTTCCTGTCCTTGCCAGAGTTCTGGTTCCGGAAGACCCTTCGCAGATGCCTTGGGCCTAGTTCCCGCCCAGGCACAAGACAACGCTGAAGACATGGGCCGGAGCATGCCCCGGTGCCTGGGGCAACTGGACATCCGCAAAAGTGTAGTGGGCCTGGCCACGGGTGCCGGCGCCCTCTACCTGCTCTACAAGGCCATCAAGGCTGGCCTAACGTGCCAGCCGCCCCTCTGCTCCAACTCGCCCATCTGCATCGCCCGTGAGTGTCCGGGCCCTGGGGAGAGGGCTCTGCCCCAGGAGGCACCTGCTCCCGAGGCCGCCACTGTGGGAGGGCCCAAAGGTGACTCCTCCAAGTTCCTCTCTGCCTCCTCTTCCTCCTCTCCACCTTCCTTCCTCCAGCCCTCCCTGCAGCCCTAGCCAAGGCCCTGCAAGAGATGCTAGTTCAGGGGTCCTGGTTCTCACCCAAGTGGATCCTCAGGACTCTTCTGGCATGACTCCAAATACTGCATTCGCTCTGGCTCCCAAGATTCTGCTTCTTGGAAACTTGGCACCAGCAGCTCCCCCCATCCGTTTCCTGCCGCTGGAATCTGAGGCAAAGGAAAGGGAAAACTGGGGGAACCCACCTGCCCAGCGCTTCCACTAGGCTGTAGAGTGTGTGTGGACTAGGTGAGGTGCCCCTCTGCAAGACCCTCTACTGCCACCTGCTGGAATGTCATTGCCATAACTGACCACCGTGAAACACCCCGCGCTACTGCTCTATGCCAGCAAACTGTTACAGTGCCTAGCAGACCGGTGGCGTCACGGTGAGGACCAGACGTTAGATTTGGTGCCCTTGTGCAGTCCACAGCTTGGTCAGCTGTACGTGGTGATCTTGCATATAGCGAGAAGGCGTCTCTTCAGAAAAGAAGGCAGCCTCGCCCCCACGTCCCTCTCCCCCACTTCCCCCTCCCGTCCTTTCCTTACTTCCGAGCCCACAGCCTGAACTGGGCTGCGGTGGCTGTCTAGGCCTGGCCATCGAGCGAGAGCGGCACGGGCGGGACTCGGGTGAGCTCCGGAGGCTCCTCAACTCCTTGGAGTGCAAACACGATGAGTACACCAAGAGCATGATCCTGCACAGCATCACGCGCTGTGTGTACTTGCTGGAGGCTGAGGTGAGGGGCGGAGGAGGAGGTCCTTCCAGCCAGCCTGGGTCCTGGGGGTTACACTGTCCCCACCCCGTGACTGGCCAGCCTGTGTCCTGGGACCCGGCTCCGGCCTATGGTGGGAGGGAGTGCTGCAGGGTCTTGGTGACACGGGGGCAGTGGGCCCAGGACACCTGCTTCTCCTGCCTTTCCCATCTGTCCCCACACACTGCAGGCCTCTGCTTGTACTACTGATGACATCAGGTTGGTGGGCTCCATGCTGGATGACAAGGACACCAGTGTCAAAATCCAAGCTCTGAATGCACTTAAAGCTTTCTCTGGCATCAGAAAATTCAGGCTCAAAATTCAGGTGAGCCCAGTGGCAAGTGGCGGGGCAGGGCACAGAGGAGGTCCTCAGTCCTCGAGTTCTTTAATAGACATGTGAAAAGCAGGTATGTTCCAGAAGTTTGCTTGGGGCCGAGTGTGGAACCCGGAAATAAGTGGGCATGTGGTGGTCGGATTTCCAGTAGGGTCATGAAAGCCTATGACTCTCAGGATGAAACAGAGTGAGGCTGCGAGTGGTATCTCTGAATCTCAGACAGCAGGAAGTCTCCTGATGTGCCTTCTGTCTCCAGCCAATTCTTTTTTTTTCTTGGTTTTTTTTTTTTGGAGAGATTTTCGCTATAGGGCGCGTGCGCTCGCCAGACAGACAGAGAGAGACATTAGAGACAGAAAGCGAGAAATCACCCCCAAGGAGGAATGGTCACGCCGCAATCCCGTCTCCTCCACTCTCCTCCCGGGATCTTGGGCACGCATGCACACGGGCCCGGCGTGAGTTTTAAGCCACCGGGTCGGGGAGGCGAACCGCGGTCGACTACGTGGGAGTCCAGAGACATAGCCATTACGCTAACTGCTGGTTCCCGCCAGCCAATTCTTTACCCCATCCGGTTGTCCTCACTTCGGGCTCCAGTGGCCAATCTGAGTTCCTACTGATTGCCAATACATTTAGAGGTTCTCACCACCCCCATGTTAAGTTTGCGTATTTGCTAAAATGAGTCACAGAACTCAAGAAAACATCTTTTTTTTTTTTTTTTTTTTACATTTACCAGGTTATTAAAATAAACACAATTCAGAAACAGCCAAATGGGAGAGATGGATAGGGCGAGGTAGGGGGAAAGGGGCCCAGGGCATTCAGGCACCTCCCATCCCGGCACCTCCATTGTTCAGCGACCTGGAAGCACTTGAAACCCTGTCCCTTCAAAGTTTTCTTTGTTTTTGTTTTTCCTATAGGGTGTGTGTGCTCACCAGACAGACAGACAGAGAAGGAAACTAAGAACTCACCCCCCTGGGCGGGGTGGCCACACCACAGTCCCTTCCCCTTCATTCTCTTTTCATGATTTTGGGCATGCACGCACATGTGCCAGCAAATTTACCAAGTCGCCGGGTCCAGGGCACAAGCCATGTACTCAGCCATGCGGGGTTAACGAATTTATCCAGCTGCCCTAATCACACTGCCTGGCTGGCCAGCCCAAGGTGTTTAGGGAGGTTTTATTATGTAAGCACAGTGGGGTAAATCGCTAGTCATTGGTGACAGTCTCCAGCCCCATCCCCTCCCCGGAGGTGGGGAGAGGGCTGAGAACTCCAATCCTCCAATCAGGGCTTGGCCTTTCTAGTGACCTCATCCTGAAGCTGTCTAAGGGCCACTTTATTAGCAAAACTCTGGTGTGATCAAAAGGTGTTAAGAATAGCAAGAGAGGGCCAGCAAGGGGTGTGGTGGTTAAGGTAACTGGTTCCCATATGGTTGACTGCAGTTTGAGTCCCGGACACAGTGGTTTGGTGGGGCCCTTCACTGCCATTACCCTAAGAACCTGCACTGTGGAGTAGGGAGCAGCAGCAGTCAGTGAGACCCACTGAGGCAAGTCCCCTTGTTTCCTTCTGACTGGCCCAAGTACATCCTGGTCCTGCTCCTCCCACACCCCTTCACCACCATTACTCCTGGAGCATGCGCCGTGGAGCAGAGAGCAGCAGTCAGTGAGACCAACAGAGGCAGGAGACTGCCTCAGACCTCTAGCTGCCCTCTGGCCGGCCAGGAATATTCTGAGATGTCATAGTTTTCCGAGCAGCACCATGTACGTAGTGGTGTCATGTGACTCCTCCCTCTCCCAGCTGGAATGCTCCGGTTCAGTCCCAGGTGCACCTGGTCCTGAGAGACTGGGAAAGGAATCGACGCTTAAGGCTGGCTATACACACCTCTCTGCCTGGAAGACAAGGCCCTCTACCAAGAACACGTCTGAGAAGTAGAGCTCTCCTTCCCGCTGACACTGCAGACACAACATCAGAAGGGCAGGAAGAAGCGTATAATCCACTAGATGACGAGAAACCGGCGCAGGGGCATGAGAAATAATGAGACAAGGAAACACCTCTTCCTCAACACCTCTTCCTGGAACAGAGCAACTCTTCATGAACCATAGACAACACAAAAGGATTTGCAGGGATGTCAGAAGTAGAGTTCAGAATATTCATGGTGACAGAGATGAGGAAGTCTTTCCATTATTCAAAGGAGGAGATAGACACCACAGAAAAGAACCAATCAGAACTCCTAGAGATGAAGATGGTAATATGGATGAAGACCAAGATAGTAATACAGATGAAGACCTCCCTCAGAAGAATTAGTAGCAGATGCGACTACTCAGAAGACAGGATCTCTGAGATGGAAGATGAAACCTTTGACTGAGACAAAACCACCAAAATAATGAAAAACAATTTTTTAAAGAAGACAATATACAAGAAATATTAGACACTATTGAATGTCCAAATGTCTGAATAATAGGTATTCCAGAAGGTGAAGATTCAGACAAGGGCATAGAGGGTCTAGTCCATGAAATACTTGCAGAAAACTTCCCAAACCTAGAGAAGCACTCAGATATCCAGACCCTAGAAATACAAAGGACCCCAAATGGGATCAACATAAGAAGATCCTCTTCATGGCACATAGCCAGAATGGTAAAGATCACAAAGACAAGATTTTTAAAAATGGTAAGAGAGATGGGACCAGCAGATGGTGTAATGGCTATGTCGCCAGACTTTCAAGTAATTGACCGTGGTTCAAGTCCCAGACCTGGTGGCTTGAAACTCACGCCGGTGTGCCCAAGATTTCAAGAGGATAATGGAGAACAGATTGTGGTGTGGCCATCTCTCCTGGGGGGTGATTTCTCACTTTCTCTCTCTGTCTCTCTGCCAAGCACATGCACCCTATAGGAAAAAAAAAAAAAAAAAAAAAAAAAAGAGAGAAACATGTAGTCACAAAGGTTGCTCTATTAGACTAACATCAGACGTCTCAACCAAAACAATTTAGGCAAGAAAAGAATGGGAAGACATTCCAAATATTAAAAGAAAACAATTTTGGTATCAGCAGTTGGTGTAAAGTTTATGTCACTAGTTATGTTGCTGGACTCTCATGTAGTCAATTTTGAGTCCCAGGTCCAGTGGCTGGACCTGGGACTCAAAACTCACACTGGACTCATGTGCGTGCGTGCCCAAGATCCCAGGAGGAGAATGGAGGAGAAGGGACTGTGGTGTGGTCATCCCCCTGGGGGGTGATTTCTCGCTTCCTGTCTCTGTCTCTTTGGCAAGCACCCATGTCCTATAGCAAAAATCTTTCTTAAAAAAAAGACAAAGTAAAACAATTTCAAACAGGAATACTATGCTCCAGCAAGATTATCTTTCAAATGAGAAGAATTGATAAAATCATTCACAAAAACCGGAAAGATTCACCAATATTCGACCAGTTCTTCAAGAAGTACTGAAGGGTGGTCAGCAGGTGGCATGGTGGTTAAGGTGCTGGAATTCCTGCATGGCTGACCATGGTTTGAGTCCTGGACCTGGTGACTTTCTCTCTCTCTCTCTCTTTGACTTTCTCTGGCAAAAAACTCATGTGAAAAAAAAATAATAAAATAAATAATTATTTTTTTTAAAAAAGTACTGAAGGGAGTACTGTTTCAGGATAACTGGAGACAGACAGAAATAGAACAAAAAAACAACCAAGAAAATGGCTAACAAGATGGCAGGGACAAATCCACGAATATCAATAATAGCACTGAATGTTAATGGAATAAATTCTCTAATCAAAAGACATAGTCTGGCTGAGTGGATAAAAAAAGCAGAAACCCTCTATTTGTTGCCTACAAGAAACGCACCTTATGGATAAAGATATACAGAAACTAAAACTGAAGGACTAGAAAAAGATAATCCATACAAATGGAAATCCAAAAAAGGCTGGACTCATGATACTGATATTAGACAAAATAAGCATTAAGACAAAGTACTAAAAGGGTAATTCACCAAGAAGATATAACACTTAAAAATACCTATGTACCCAACTTGGGAGCACCCAAATTCGTGAAAGAAAGACTGCTAGGTCTAGAAGGGGAGATAGACTGCAACACATTAATTGTTGGGGTCTCAACACTCCACTATCTCCATTGGACAGATCATCTAGACAAAAAAACAATCAGAGATACACGATCATGAAATGGACTTGAAAGACATCTATAGAACTTTCCACTCAACAACCACAAAATATACATTTTTCTCACTCCCTGCATGGACCTTTTTCAACAGTAGACTACATGATAGGGCACAAAACAAGCCTTTACAATTTCAAAGGTATAGAAACTATCCAGCATCTTCTCCAACCATGACGAAATTAATTCCAGAAAAATCCTTCAAAAATACACAAATATAGAAACTAAACAAGCTACTCCTGAATGACTTCACAAGCACTGAAGAAATGAAGACTGAAATCAAAAGATGAATTGAAACCAACAATAATGGGTGCGTGGATTTTCATAATCTATGGACATAGAAAGAAACAGTCATAAGAGGGAAGTTCATAGCAATTAGTTCACATAAGAGAAAGATGGAGGGACCAGCAGTTAGCGTAATGGCTATGTCGCTGAATTCCTATATAGTCGACTGCGGTTCGAGTCCCAGACCCGATGGCTTAAAACTCACGCCGGGCGCATGTGCGTGCGTGCCCAAGATCCTGAGAGGAGAATGGAGGAGAAGGGATTGCGGCGTGGCCATCCCCCCTGGGGAGTGATTTCTCTCTTTTTGTCTCTCTGTCTCTCTCTTTCTCTGTCTGGCGAGCGCACGCATCCTATAGCAAAAACCTCTCCAAAAAAAGAAAGATAAAGATGGAAAATAGAGGTGGCAAATAGACAACCCAGCAACACACCTCAGGGAACTAGAAAAACAACAACAAAAGCAAAATGCCAGGAGAAGAGAAATAACAGTTCAAGCAGAAATAAGTGAAATCCAGAACAGACGAACTGTACAGAAAATGAATGAAAACAGAAGTTGGTTCTTTGC